ACGCTGTGAGGAAATGACAGCTCTGGTCACTCCTCCCAGCTATCAGAGAAAGCCGCAGAGGAGGAAGGAGAGGGAGTCAGAGTAGGAACTCTGACTTCCATCAGCCTGAGCCACCACTGAACCCAAGGAAAAGTCACCCCTCCTGCACCTGAAAGGTAGGAAACAGGAGGGTGACTTAAACATTTTGCATGTATGTGTGTCTTTATGTATGTGTCTCTATGTATATCTGTGTGTGTGTGTTTCTTTGTGTGTGTCTGTGTATGTATGTGTGTGTCTGCATGTGTATCTGTTTGTCTGCATATGTGTGTCGGGAGGTGGGGTGGACATATGGGGGAGGGGAGAATTAGACGTATGAGGGAGTGGGGAATTAGTCATATGGGAAAAGTAGACTATGAGGCGGGGGAAGGCGTATGGGGGGAAGTAGATGTAAGGGAGAAGTAGACGTGTGGGGGGGATAAACCTGTTTGGGAGGGGGGTGGGGCCAGGGCAATTTTCGCACCAGGGCCCCGTGATTTGTAGTTACGCCTCTGTTTAAAAGCCTTGTTTCTCAGGTATGGTGTAAGGGGCAACAGTTTGATATCAGAAAATTTTTACTGGTGGTCATGTCCCATATTGTAATTTTATATTCGCTGGGCATTTGGTACGAAGTAGTGGCCTATCAGATTTTGGTACCCATATCCAATATTGTGGGAGTACCAATTCTATTAGCAAAGATTCCAGGTCCACAACTTGTGTGCATCAGGGAGAGAGTGCCATTGTATGATGTTAAGTAATTTGCTTAATTCACACTCAAAGATTACAAAGTCCAGAAAAAGAATATATATGTTTTTTAGTGGACTAGACATAATGGTGTATTTATTCCTCTCTCAGCCGCCACATTAAATAGTCAAAAAAGAAAAGAATACCCCGTGGGGTCAATAAGACTATAAGGGAGATTTAAAACATCCCTGTGCCCTCACCGGAAAATTGGCAGCGGGTGAGGGCCCTAATATAAATATTCTAATGTCCTTATTTAGAACAGCAGAAATAGCAGACATTGGCTGTATGTCCAGTGAAAAGGTTGCATATTGACAGTAACACTCCAAAAGGGGGTTCACTCAGCAGCCTTTGAATGTGAGCCCAAAGAAAAGACTGCAGCCACTTTTCTAATATATTTCTAAAATGTTACATCCCTGCAAAACAGTACAAAAAAACCCCCCAAAACTGCAGTGCTTTACTGGGCTAAGAAATAGCAAGCCTCTAACATCCCCTAAAGTGGAATATTCACTTAGAACAGCAAAAGCACACTTTTGAACATGAACCCAGGTGAATTGATGCCGTTGGATCCTCTACAATCAAAGCATGTAGAGATGGGTAACCAAGTCTTGGGCAGGATGAATTTTGAAAATGTAATTTTATTGACTAAATCTGGTTAGAATTGTGACATCTGATGATGTTGTCAGTAACTGAGAAGAGTCTCTCACCCTAAGCATTTATGAGCAACCAACCAGCTATGGCCTGGCTACACCTTAAGTTTTGTTTTTTCACAGTAAATAGGAGGGTCTATAGTAGAAACATTTTGGGGCCCCTAACTGAGCTCAAGGTCTGGGCCCCCAGGGGCCTGCCTCCAAGACCGCCCACAGGGACCACATCCACATCCCTCCCACAGGAATACACACACAGACACAAACACATTCACTGATACAAAAGGACACAGATACACACACACACACACTGATATGCATATAGGCATACATAGTGACACACACATACTGAGAAATACACACATATACAGACACACAGGCGTATATAGTGACAGACAGACACATACGTAACAGAATGACCACTGGAAATGTAACAGAATGACCACTGGAAATGTAACAGAATGATTTCTGGAAATGTAACAGAATGATTTCTGAAAACATAACAGAATGATTTTTGGAAATGTGACAGAATGGCTTAAACATAAGATGGGTGGTTCAAAGTAAACAAGGAGCACAGAGATGTGGATCAAGATAAAAAAAATATAGACAGACATCAACATAAAGAATTCCTGGAAGCCTTTGCTGTTATATGTAGTTGATGGGACTTCTATGTTCAGGGTCCAAGTCTATGAAGAAGCAGAACCCAAGTATCTACCTTCTCACTGGGGAACATCATGCAAAAGCACTGCCTGGACCTATTACCTTCTCCTATGGTCCTTCTCACCCTTGGTCTTTTCTGTCTCAGGACTCGTGCATTGACTGGAAGAAAGGCACTCTCACCTTCTCCTCCTCATTCTGCAGTACCACTTGTCTGGCTCCTGGCTCCACTCCTCTACTGTCCATGTGTCTTCCACTCCAATCTCATTACCAAGCAACTATGAAGACTTCTATATGTATTTAACAAAAAGGCACTGAGAATTTACCTTCAAGATGTCCATATTACTATGCTATTGATTTACTCCTTGGGGCTGCCATTCCATAAGGATGCAACTTCCCACCGGTGGCCCCTACTCATACATCAAAAGAAGGTCTGTGGTACCTTGGTTCTCAAGAATTTAAGTATTTGAAGGAATTTGTTTTGGAGAGCCTTACCAAAGGGTACATTAGACCAGTAAGGGAATATCTTGGACACATTTCTTGTCTTTATCATGATGACATCCTGGTCTTTTCCAAAACTCCAACACAACAAATTCTACATATAAAAAAGATCCTACAATGCATGAGCTATGTGCCAAACTGGAAAAATGCGTGTTTGACACTTAGTTGAATTATTGGGTTACATCATCAACCCCAAGCAATATTTAAATTAATTCTCAGAAGGTGAAAACCATCCTGAATTGGCCCCGCCCCAAGAATAAAAAAGCCATACAATGTTTCTTGGGATTTACAAATTTTCACTGCCATTTTATCTGAGGATTTCACCTAGGTATGTGCTCCCTTTACTACACTAACAAGAAAACAAGACAAGTATACCTGGGCACCCAGCCTTTGATAAACCCAAGACACTCTTTACAGAGGCACCCTTCCTGGTACAACCTGACACCTCCTCAAAGTTGGTGCAATCTGACAGGAATCTGGGAGGAAAACCGGAGAGATGATTGGCTCCATCCCATAGCTTCCTCAGAGAGGAATTAGCAGAAAGAGAACTACTTGTTATTAAATGCACTTAGAGGAATGTCACCATCTGCTGGAGGAGTCTTCGCTATCAATAACAGACCATCGAAGTCTGGAATACCTCCAATAAGCCAAATGCCTACGACTCACCAAGCCCATTGGGCTCTTTACTTCTCCCGCTTCCATATACAAATCATCAATAGATCTGGTTCCAAAGAAACTGAAGGTAAACACACTAATCCCACATAAAACATTATTCAGTATTCTATTGCCACAACAGTTCCTCACTAGACCATATGTATGTTCTGCACACCCCACCACTGACAGTGGCCCCTACTCATACATCAAAAGAAGGTCTGTGGTACCTTGGTTCTCAGGTATACCTATCCCGGGCTGTCCGTCGAAGCCTGTTTCATGATATGTTGTCTGCTGGACATGATGTGGTCCCTAGAAACTGGGAAAGGAAGGTCACTATTTCTAGTAACCTACCTTCATGCAGGACACTAAGGAGTATGTCCTTTCCTGTGCAGCATATGCCCGATCCAAGACCCTAAAAAATAAACCCATTGGGTTGCTTTTGCCAGTATCAATTGCTTCTGATCTATGGATAGACATTGCCATAGAACTGATTGTTGACACGCTGCCTTCTCACAAGCACAATACCATGGACAGGTTCACGAAGACGGCTCATTTTATTTCCACCATTGGACTACCCACTGCACCCAGCTACAATATTCCTACAAGAAGTATATTGTTTTGCATTATTCCATTATAAGAGATTAGAGAACTCAATTTACATTTCACGTTTGGTCCCATTTCTGTCGACACCAGTGGATACAATGGTGTTTGTCATCAGCCTATCAAAAAAACAATTAATGGCCAGACTGAACGGCCAAACCAAACATTATAACAATGCCATTGTTGTTACATCTCAAATCTACACGACGACTGGCTGTTGCTACTCTGAACTGTGGAGTTATCCTACAATTATATTCACCATTCCATCAAACATACACCTTTCTACACACAGAAAAATAAGTAAAAAGTGGTGCTAAAATATTATCCTAAAATTAGTGCAAAATATGTACAAAAATAGCAGCACCTATAAAGTGCAATAGCCAACAAATATACACTTCTGTAAAGGTGCACTGTGTCTTTAAGACTTGTGAAGAAATGTGTTCACACAATAAAACTAATGTTCAAAAGTGCAATATCAACCTAAGTGCACACTGTATTATAAAGTGTCAAAATTCAAATTATACCAACTAAATTTATGTGCAATTTCTCTTTAAAGTGCATATCCTCCTGAGACCCATCCCATTAACTTGTGTCCTATGTACTGGACATTTCATTCACATGCATCTCCTTTTATTCTTTGAGCTACTTTACTAATCCATGCTGTATTGTAAAGAGGACAACCTGGGCTGTCCAGTGATGTCACGTGATAGGCTAGGATGCTGGGAACTTCCTCTTCCTTTTTATAAAAAATTTAAAGAAATTGGAAGTCAATTTTTTCCTTGGTTTTTTTCCTGTCAAGTAATAATTTTTGGGGAATTATTTAATTAATTATTTAATTAAATAATAATTAATTCTTCATTAATAATTATTTCTGGTGTTTATTTCTTTCAATTGTCTGTGTATATTATGAAATGTATAATTAAGAGTGTTATAAATAGCATAACTAACCTAACCCACGCAATGCACCAAATATGTGGGTGCCTGGAGTGCCTCCTTAAATTAAAGCAGTATTTTATGAATCTTTGACCCCAACTAGATCGGCAGAGAATATTATCAGCCTTCCATCTTATGCAGAAAGAAGGCGACCTATCCTCATATATTAACTACTTTGGCAAACACAAGATATTGACACAAGAACTGCTTCCTGGCATTCTCAACTACTCGAACATCTTGATGAGTCATGAAATTATTATAAGTGCCTGATAGGGAGGTTACTTCTACTGAGGCTGTTAAAAGTATAAAAAGGCAGAGTGGAACAAGTTCAGTGGAGAGGAGAGTTAGAAGTAGAGAACAAGAATGGGATAAATCCACTTAACGATTCGGGCATGAGGCTTTTGATTAATGAAGAGCAGGTTTTAACAGCAGGAGGGTGCAGTGGAGATAGGTGAACACAGACTTAGAATTAGAACGGGAGAGCCTTAAAGTTTTACATTTTATGCACTGCCAATCTGTATTTCTGTGAATTCCACAATTAAAGCTTTGAGTCATGGATCAACTTCTGGCTGTGAAGGTTGGGTGCTTAGTGGCTCTTCTCTTTATCACCTTGATCTGTGGTTTGGCACCACCATTTGCCAGCTGGTTCCTGAAAAGTAGTGTCAAAGGTAAAGTATTAAAATGGGCCATGGTTTAAACCATTCTCCCATACATAACACTTAAATATTTCACTGTATGCGCTAATTATCACTTGAATGTGTACAACAACTGTCTTCTAAATATATTTATTCTATCTCTTTGTTTTAAAAATCTCATTAACACAGATTTAACACTATTGATATTCTACTCTTTGTAAAAAATAAATCTTTTTGTATTTTAATATATGTACCAAAACCAATAACCTGCATATTTATGTGAGGATAATTGGATTTATTAAGTGTTACCAAATGAACAATGTAATATTTAGCTCACTACTCAGATACACAACAGATTAAAGTCAGATTGCTGATGGAGTGTTAAATTTAAGTCACTGACCATACGTCTGGTCAAAACAGCAGGTGGGACAACAAAAAACACATCTATTGACTTGGATAGGGCTAATGTTAAATGTGTCTTACAAATAAACATGTTGTATCCGTTGAATCGTTTAATTAGTTCTTCAGTATCCTTACTCCCCCTTGTTGATGACTGGAGAGGTTGTTAAGAGGCTGAGCAACTAATCATGTCAATATCTTGCATTCATTTTGAAAAAAATAGTCTATCCTCAGGCTTCCTACACCTCAAACATGATTAATGTTCTGTAACAGGATTTCTGATGTCAACCATTGGCTTTGCATTGCACGTGAGATTCTTGGCACAATGTTGCTGCACATTGTCCTGTCTTTTAAGGCTGTCATTTGGTAACTTCATTAGGGGATGAAGTTGGATTGCTTTAAAGTGGTTATTTTATCCCAAAATGTAAATGTACAGAGATACAAGTAAGTGAAGTGGACTCCTAGTTCTTAACCAAGATATAAATATGGAACTCATTTTGATGGACATAAAGAAACAGTCATTAGTATGGTTAATAAAAACAACCAATAGTTGTTCGCAGCTAAAATAATACCAACAGGTATCAATGAAACACTTTTACTTTTAATGTCTGCATGCAACTTTCTTCCACCTGCATTGATACTAACCAAACACTAGCGTTTACTATTTTGCAATTTGGACAAAAAAGGCATGCTTCGAAATAATTGCCATAACAACTTCACCAGAACACTGATTTGCTCAGCTTATATACACTTTTGGTAATTTATTGCGACAAGCATAGTAATGTACCCAAAGTGTTTTACCTACATCCCTATAGCACCCATTAGTTTATCGAAATGCAGACTGAATGAAAGATTAAGATCTAACTATATACCAAGGTATTTATGAGCTGAATGTGGTGGGCTTACATCTTGATTTTGACTTACTGGTTAATTAGTGATTTTATATATATTATATATATATATATATATATATATTACAGGATCTATTGATAATTCGACTAATTTACTTTACATATATATATATGTAAAATAAATTAGTCGAATTATCAATAGATCCTGTAATTTTTTTTCTTCTTATTGGTTTCCCTTTTCCTTATGTCAAGTAATTACATTATTGACTGGAATTATTTATTTAATTAATTATCAATTATTCATTAATAATTATATCTGGTGTTTATGTATTTCAATTGTCTGTGTATACTATGAAATATGTAATTAAAAGTTCTAAAAATAGTATGATTAACCTAACCCACGCAAGGCACCAAACATGTGGGTGCCTGGAGTGCCTCCTTAAAGGGACACTGTAGGCATCTTGACCACTTTAGCTAATTGAAGTTGTCTGGGTGCTGTGTCCCTTTTGCACTTAGTTCCAGGGAACTGCAATGTTTATATTTCAGCACTAAGTCTGCACTCCGTGGCTGTCTATAAGACAGCCACTGGGGGCGCCTATGGAGTTTTGGTCCGTTATCTGACGCTGGACATCCTCACGCTCTGCATGAGGACTTCGAGCATCAGATGGTTCCCCATTGGAAAGGAGAGGGAGAAGCTTTGGCCCAGCGCCAAGGGAAACCAACGCTGGGAAAAGGTAAGTAAATAAAGGGTTTTTAACCATTTATTTACCTGGGAGGGGGAACACGAGGGAGGGGGAGGCAGAGGGATCGGTAGTATCAGGAATACAGCTTTGTATTCGTGGCACTACAGTATCCCTTTAAATTAAAGTAGTATAAATAATTATTATAGTCTCTCTGTTCTCACTTGCCTTTATTTATATTTATCTTTTCTTCCTTGTGCCAGATCCAAATATCTGGTCTCAGTCATTTTGTGCTCCTCTGTCCATGATGTCTGCAGTTTGCCCTTCCATGTGATTGAGCTTACTGATGGATTGTGGATAAAATTGATTGGCAACAGAAACAGAACAGTGCTTAAAGGTCAATTGTCATTAAATTTTCATCTCTCGGTTTTCTAAATGTTTATTACATTTAGTTAAACCTAATAATATTTTTGAGATGAAGCATATGGATTTGTTTGAGAAAATTTTACTTTTTTTATTTGACTAAACTGCCATAATGGGTCAGACTGCTGCTTACCTTAACTTGCCTACTGCTGTGATTGCACTGTATGAAAATGCAGCAGTAGGCAAGATTTGTACAAGAAGCAATTGGTCAGATAACAGTAGAGTCTGAATCAACTTGGCACACTTTTATAGAGGGTGTAAAACTTGGTGTTGTCCCAACTGTCTGTGTGTCCAGTGTCTGTGTGTGAGGCTGGACAGGAAGTGGAAAGGATCACTTCCCATCTGCTCACTAACAGCCTCTCACACAGGAAATGCCTTACAGGAGGAGCAGGGACAGCACTGAGTTCTTCACACTATATAGTAGTTTCTGCATTTCTGTTATCAATCATAGGATGTTAAGTACTTTGAAAATAACCCTTCAAAAACCTCAAATGTCTGTACCCTGAATACCCTTATTTTCCTAACTACACATTTACCCATCCAAAAACCTAAATAAACTCTTTAATAATTAGTACCACATTTTAGGTTACCACATCCACTATGTGAAGTGAAAAGGTTTCCTTTCCTTTTCTACTTTGCTGCTGTGTTCTATCTGTGGCTGACCCTGCCGCCTTCTTTGAGATCATCAGTCTTGATCAGTATTCTTTGGTGCAGTGTTGCGCACGGTAGCTGGACTGTCATTGGCTGCAGTGTTGAGTGCGGATTACTGAATTACAGTCTGACAGTTGGTCATTTGGTTTTTCTGTATATGGTGGGTTTATATTTCATTTCTGAATGAATGACCGAAATTCTCAATTTTCTGTCATTTTGCAGTTCTTTTCAACAATGCATTTGTCTAGCATATATTGCCTTTCAGACAATATTAAAAGTTAACATTCAGTAAATTTACACAAGTTTTATTTTTCCATTCAATCTATTTAGAGTTTTTGAGGGAGGAAACACTAAAGATAGTATTCAGCGATTTTGCAATATATCACAAAGGGTATCAATTTGGTTCTAATGCCAACAAAATCTAAAAAGAATACCTGCTTTTGAACATAGATTAAACATAGTTACATAGTTATAAATGGTATTTAAAAGTGCTATTGCAATCTTTATAAATCTTTGGAATGCTAATGTCAGCACATCCACAGACATTAACAAAAACATGTATCCCTAACCCTAGAGTGTTAAAAATACTATCTAGCACCCTGCCTTCCGCCCCTCCTCCCCCCCATTACCCTATAAATAGAGTACAACCCTTACTTTTTTTCAGTCTGCTGCTGGCTCTTCCCCTGATCTGCCTCCATGACTGACATCATCAGAAGTGACGAGTTGAGCTAATTACAATGATTTCCCATTGGAAAGCATTGGATCAGTTGAGATTGTCAATTCTGATTATCTTAGCAATGGAGGTGGGCAAGGAGGCTGAGCCAAATGCCACTCTGGTCATCAGCATCTCCTCATAGAGATCCATTGAATCACTGCTTCGCTATAGGGAAAGTTTGGTGTCTCCATGCAGAGGGTGGAGACACTGCATGTCACTGCTGCACATTGTTGTAAATTTTGTTTTGCTAAGTAAATGAACATAAATGTTTATACATGATTCTGGGAGTGAAGGGGCTAACAATATGCTAAACATTCTGGTATATCCTGCTTGCAAATTATATATATACCAATCTCTGCACCCCTATGAAATGTGGAAAGCTCATTCTTCGTCTAGATCCTTACTAACTAATCTCTTTGCAGAATCCTACCAACTCGTTGTTTGCCTTATCAGTTCATTTGCAGCCGGCATATTCCTGGGAGCCTGTTTGCTTCATGTCGTTGCTGACTCCCTCACAGACATCGCAAGTGAGCTTTCATATGTGAGTCTAATTATTTTTGTTGCTCTTCAGTGTTAGAACCTCAAATTTCATGGTTATAAGTCATTGACTAAAGAGACAGCCTTTCACAAAGCTTCTTTAATTTCGCTTATATTTTCGTTCAGAGTCTCCGGTACTAGACCTTCACTACTTCATATTCCAGTTATACCTTATTTACTTTTTCCATTCTATTTAATTCCAAACTGTATTTCTTCTTCATTATTTTGTCATTTATCAGTCTTTCTTCTTTACCTGTTGGAACATAACATATACATTATTATATCTCACTAATCAATGTTTTCAGTTCACACACTGTCACCTTTATTCTTCTATATCTTTCCCTGCTCATTTCTATTTTCACAAATTTCATTTGGGTTCATCTTGATGTCACATTAAAATGATTTAAAATAATTGAATAAGCTGTTAGTTACGATATCAGTGTAGGCCTTGGAAAGGCAATGATTTAAAGGACAACTATTGTGCCAGGAAAACATACTCGTTTTCCTGGCACTATAGTGCCCTGAGGGTGTCCCCACCCTCAGGGACCCCCTCCCGCCCGGCTCTGGTAGGGGGAAAGGGGTAAAAACTTACCTTTTTCCAGCGCTGGGCAGAGAGCTCTCCTCCTCCGATCCTCCTCTTCTCCTCCCTGTCGGCTGAATGCGCACGCGCGGCAAGAGCTGCGCGCGCATTCAGCCAGTCACATAGGAAAGCATTCATAATGCTTTCCTATGGACGCTGGCGTGCTCTCACTGTGAAAATCACGGTGAGAAGCACGCAAGCGCCTCTAGTGGCTGTCAATGAGACAGCCACTAGAGGAAATAGGGGAAGGCTTAACCCATTCATAAACATAGCAGTTTCTCTGAAACTGCTATGTTTATGAAAAAATGGGTTAACCCTAGCTGGACCTGGCACCCAGACCACTTCATTAAGCTGAAGTGGTCTGGGTGCCTAGAGTGGTCCTTTAAGTTCAAATAGTTGAAGTAAATTCTGCAGAAAAGAGCACTCACTTGCAAATCAAAGTACTGAATGGGAAACTATAGAAATTATGCTCCTGTTACTTATTTAATAAACAGTGTTGAAGTTTACTGGTGTAAACAAAGCTAATTTTCTTTGTTTAATGCTAAGTCTAGTGGGACCAGAAATTGAGGCTTACAAAACATGCTTTGCCAGTGAAATTATATTTTTCAGGGACTGTTTGTATGGCATCGATTGTATCTCCTCAATGAAAGAATACATCATAAGCCAGTATCCGGGGAATAGGGGTGGGGGTGAGAGAGAGGAGGGGGATGAGATGGTACACATGATTCCTAGAAATGTAGGAGCTTCTACATTGGTGCATAGATATTTATGAGGAAAGATAAGCAGCTCATCAACTAACATAGATGTATGTAAAAATATAAAACAATCACTCACAATAAATAAATAAATAAATGTATAAGGAGGAGGAAATTGCCCAACGTCTGAATTGAAAGAAAACCTAGACTTTGTATGTGTTTGTTCCATGCATAATGATAATGATGATATGTATTTGTATATACAAGCGTATATCTACAAGCCCTATGCAGTGCAATTCATCTTTGATTTCTCATATTATTTTGCAGATCAACTATCCTATGGGAGAACTGATCTTGTCTTTGGGCTTCTTCTTGGTTCTTTTCATTGAACGATTTGTCTTGTATTGTTGTAATAATCACCAAAACCCGTCCCATGATGTGATGCCACTGCCAGAAATGCCATCCACGCCTACAGCTGACTACCAAGAAAAGCAGGACATGTCATCAGAGATAAATGTCACTGTGCAGGAGGAGCCACATAACCACATCCACCCTAATATATACTCCCATGCCTCCTTTCGTTCCCTTATTCTTTTCTGCTCACTCTCCATTCATTCGGTTTTTGAAGGTCTGGCCATTGGACTTCAGTCCAGCTATTCTAGTGCCTTAGAGATCAGCATTGCAGTACTTATACATAAGGGCATTATTGTTTTCAGTCTGTCACTTAAACTGCTTCAGAGTCTGAGCCAACGAACGTGGCTAGTGGTATACATTGTGGTGTTTTCCCTGATGTCTCCTATTGGCATCACAATTGGCATTATTGTTACATTAGAGAAGTCTGCCATCGTAACTATGGTCCAAGCCATCTTAGGGGGCATTGCCTCAGGGACATTTGTGTATGTCACATTCCTGGAAATTCTACCACAAGAACTCAACACATCAGACAAGCCACTACTGAAGGTTCTCTTCATTGTCATTGGTTTCACTGTTATGGCAGTCATAGCTATCTGGGCCTGATCTACCTGTGTTAATAGTTTTGATCGGATTGATTGGCAGAATTATGTATTCTATATAAATACCATGGAAATACCATTTAGAAGTGCATGTATCAGTAAGTCATAGAAACAAGTGTATTACTAAATATGGCACTCCATTATATACTGTTGTCAGACCACATTGACCACTAAACTAATGTGTACTCTTTGCTTCAAGTACATATGTAAAAGTGGAAAGCCAATGTCACAAAACAATAGCAATTAAAGATAAAATATTTTCTTAAAGGAGCAATGTTTTTTCTTTGTCTATTCGAGTAATCACTAATGCAGGGCTGGAGGGAAGTCTGTGAGTTGTGCCCAGTATTTCTCGCAGAATTGTTGCAGACTCCATATCTTCCTCATTCCTTTTAACGTCAGCCACTCGTCCCTGATCACAGTGATGGAGGAACGTTGGATAACTCTAGGCGTACATATAGAAAATAAAATTAAATTGAAAATGAAAAAATATTGATATGTGACAAGATCAAACGCTATTTCTTCAAATAAATCACTACTGCCCTTTAACAGAAATGAACCTCCATACAAAATCAAGGATTAAATTACTCATGAAACATGAAACATAAAATATGGGGGTGAATAGTATAAGCAAGTCAAATTATAAATATGTCAATATTTATTTACTAAATATGAAATCAACTCTAGATAGTGTGACAAAGGGTACAGTTGATTATAACAAAATAAAGCAAAACAAAATCCTTGCTTGTCTGAGGACCAACTTAACAATATTGTAAACTGAGTGGGATGGGTGGCTTGTCCTAATAGAAATATCCACCTTACTGTTTCAGTTTCTTTTAGCTGCTCTTTTACACATTGCAGGAAACAAAACAAGATCTGATCTTGATCTTGATCTTGGCAGGGGAGTACTTAAAGGGACCCTGTAGAGGCAAGAACACAATCATGTAGTCCTGACCCTATAGTGTTAAAACATTATTTAATTAGCTGCCTAAGTTTTACCCCCCTTAAAAAGGTAACACAATTACCCTTACTCCAGCACCCTCCAGGTCAGCCGTTGCTGGCTCTGCCCTTGCCTTGCCCCCTTGGCTGGGATCATCACAATTGATAATGTCAGCAAATCCATGGTTTCCTATGGGTACAACTACATTAAGTTTTAGTTGTTATGGTGACTATTGTGTCCCTTTAACAACACCTACAGTTAATTATCTTTTGCAGGTGAGGTAAACGAGAGTGTTGGAACTCTGGAACCAGACTCCTCACCTGCAGTCTCCCAGCAACCTCCAAAATGTGGAGTGGAGCACTGGCCCACCCTTCTCTCGATGGGTACCACCCAAGGACCAAAGTGCAATATTAATTTTAAAATAACACATTTCCCTGGGGCAAATCTTCTGCATTACACAAAAAAAGGAATCTGGGGAGATACATATATTCCAACCAGCATAATTTCTTGCTTTCAGTCACAACAGCTATAGAGCAGATCAAATATTTGAACTTTGTTTTAAATATGTTTATTGGTATCGTGTCTTGAGTTCACAAATCAGACAGATTTTCATTAAAGCGAACAGTTGCCTACGCAGAGGCTTAAGTATCGGTTTGTAAGGGTAAATGCAGATTATCACCTGCGCAGAGGCGAATTGATCAGAACATATCAACGTACATAAACTTTTTGTATGTATTACAACACAGACTGCACATAATGAACTAATGTAACATAGTAGGTTAGCTTCACGTGGGTGTTAAGCTTCATGGTTATGTATCTTATAGCAGCGCTTTGTGGGCTTGAACACTAATATGCCTTGTTTGGAGATATAAAAAAAACAAAACAAACAAACAAAAAAAAACCTGTATGCACTGTATATAAGCTCATATATCTGCTTAAAAGTGTGGTACGGTATGGGCCGTTGCATGAATGGGCGCTCTAAAATATTCCTAGTCACTTTTAAACTAAAGGCTGCATGTTCCGACATATAGTGCAGTTAATATACTGAGCAAATATGCTGGTGCATAGCATGGTATGCGCGCATATTGTTCCTGCCTGAAGCCTTGACATATCCATTGTGCATTGCAGCAATCATGCAATATTAGGTAGGCAAAGGGCATGAGCATCATCCGATAGATGCGTAAAGGTTGGCTATCGGCTATTTACTCAGGTAATTTAACTTAATCAGTAGTTGGCATGCAGTCCCTGCAGTATCATTGTAGTCACATGTTAAGGCCTTTGTTGTATAGTGCGTGTCATTCAGTGACATCATGCAGAGGTATACGGTGTACGTATCAGAGCATATATAAAAAAACAAAAACAAAAACATATATATACACACAGTAAGGCAGATAAGATACCGTAGAGTAGAAAAAAGGATTTCACCAAACGTAAAAGTGCAAGGCTGGGTATAACTTGTGCGGGCGCTGTATGGCAGTCTGTGGGAGGCTTTACATGTCTCAGCTGCAGTGCAGTCCTCAGGTCGCCGTGCCTCCGCCCTTTTTTCCCACATTGGCCCCCGCCCACCGGCCGGGTATTCCGCGGTACTGTGGGCACTCAGGGGCTGAGATTATCCACTGGACCCCACCACAAAGTCCGTGGCCTTCCCGCCCCTTGCACCTCCCCAGCATCACTTTGTCCCCCATGGAGTGGGCACCCCCATGTCTCTCCCAGTGTCGGCCTCACACTTGATGCTGGTACACTAGCCCCCCGGCCACCGGTCCGCCGGCAGGTCAGCGCACTCCCGCCTCACAGGGCTCACGGCAGTGGGGACAGGATTCTCCGGGGACCATCCTTACCCGATGATCGGGGAACCCACTGCTCCGGTCGGTGTGTGAGCCGCGCGGGTGTTCTGCCTGGCACTCAGCGTTGTCTGGGCCTGCCCGAGCCGCCCATGTCAGTCCCCCATGTTAAGTTGCGCTGCGGCCCTCTGGGTGAGTGAAGCTGTATTGAAGCGCCTCTGTATCAGTGTCAGTTCCCGATCATCTCATCCAGGCCCTTGGTGGGCCGTTTTTTCATGCAATGAGCATTTTGGGATCTGTATGTCCCTCTACCAGTGCTTTCTTTTCCCCTCTGTGTCTGTGTCTTCTTCTGCTAGCTTGCTGGTCCTTCCACAGCCTTTGCCAGTGTAGGCGGCAAGCGCGCACTCCACGTGGGAGCCCCCATCGTGGCGCGGGTCGCCGCTATATGGCCAGGAAAACCCCCGCCGGCCAAGGGGGGGAGGGAGGCTGGCGCCGCAAACCGAGCCTGGGGTGAGCCTCCACCCAGGGGTTTCATCTGTGCGATATCTCCCGCTCGGGGGTTGTGCCTCTTTGCGGCTTCTTGTTGCGTGTTGCGGCCGCGGGCGGTTTTGTGCTCTGCCATATGTAGGCCGCGCACGTCCTCTGTTGCTGGCCCGGCTTGCGATATGTTTAATGTAGGCGGCTGCGATGTGCCGGGGTCGCTCTCTGTGCATTGCTGTCGTGATGTTCAACTTTTAAGCAGCCAGGACTGGTTTCGTATGCCTTTTGGCTTGGGTTAGTGCTGGAGCCCATGTACATGGCGTCCAGTCGGCCCGGCGGCCCGGCCCCGCCCCCAAATATTTGAACTTTGGACAATCCATTAATAGGTTTGTAGCTTTATCTCATAGTAATAGTTGAAGCAGCATGAAAATCAACATACGGGGAAAAAGATTCCAAGTCATACCAAAAAAGAAACTCACTCATAAATATAGCAGTACTTACAAATATAGCAGACACAAGGAAAATAATCCCATTAGAATTACAGTTTATCGCAGCAGCTAGTGATAGTTTCAACAAGTTGGACACAAGCTACAATAGAGGTGAATTTAAACATGGATTATCTGAAGTTTATGCTTGTTTTATACAACAGCTTTGAACACAACTCAGGAAGAGACGTAAAGCCAACGAACCACTTATGGACAACTGTTTCGTTGTTAATGCAACTCATCGGCATGAGATTGGTTACTGACTTGCTATTGAGGTTTGGCATTGAAATGTCAACACTACATACAGACATACCCCTACATTCAAAGGCAAATACTGCACACAAGTAAACCACTGCTTTCAAATGGAAAAGGTATATAAAAGCACACAACACTATATACAAATACACCCTTACATTCACACACACATACTACATAAAAACACATGCTTACATTCAAATACACAAACACTGCTCAGTGCTAAGTACAACCCTGCAAGGATGGGAAAATGGTATATCCCGATCTGACAAAGCACTGTGACCCTGTGAATCCTATGAACAGGATTATAAAAAATCCTCAGGCTTACAAATCTGTGAAGAAATTAATGATGGTAGAGCATTTCCCCATTAGCTTCCGATTATTATAAAATGTCCAGTTCTCTTTATGAATGCTCCTTTACTGTAAGCATTGTTCCTAAGGGGTGTGGGGACTCTGTTCCATCTGCAATATAATAAAGGAACTATGTTCCCATTTGTTCCTACTCCACTAGACACCTAGCTCTTAGAAAGAGCTTGTCTTTTTTCATATGTGTTTATCTGTGGCTCTCTAAGTAGTCTGGGCGGCACTTTCAGTAGAGCAGCAAAAAAATGCCATCCCTAAACCCCCTGCAGATGACCGTCTGGCCACCTTAGGGCCCACCTGAAGCTGGCAGCTGCTCTCTCGTGCAACCCTGCAGTGATGCCGGGAGTTGGATTTTGAGGTCACACTTGCACCTAGCATCACTAAACAGCACACAATGGAGCAGATCAGGAAGATCACAGCTCCCTCACTGCCTTCATTGAGTACTCACCGTCTGTTCAGCAGCAAAAGGGTCCCAGGACCCCCGGGAAAGACTGAATCCACTCCAGCACTCCCAAAAGTAGGGAGGCTCGGTGGATTGAAATTAAAATAAAACAAGAAACAATTTGTGAGTGTGTGAATGTGTCAGAATCGGTGTGTGTGTGTGTGTCTGTCAGTGAATGTGTATGTCAGATTGTCTGTGTGTGTCTGTCAGTGACAGTGTATCTGTCTTTGAGTGTGTATGTGTGAGTGTCAATGAATGTGTGTGTATCTGTCAGTTGTTGTGTCTGTCAGTGAGTATGTGTTTGTCAATGAATGTGTGAGTGAGTGTGTGTCTGTCAGTGAGTGTGCATGTGTCTGTGAGTGAGTGTGTATGTGAGTGTGTATGTGTTTCTGTCAGTGAATGTGTATGTCTGTGAGTGTGTGTGTGTGTGTCAGTGAATGTTTATGTGTGTCTGTCAATTAGTGTGTATGCTTGTCAGTGAGTGTGTTTGTCAGTGAATGTGTGTCTGTCAGTTAGTGTGTGTGCCTGTCAGTGAGTTGGTATGTGTGTGCTTGTCAGTGAATGTGTGTCTGTCACTG